AGGGTAAGGGAAGTGGGCCCTGAGGTAGGGATATGTCCGCAGCCCCCTCCTCCCTCTTTCCCTCCTGCTCCTTCGTCTCCCTTACTGCCCCACCTCCTCCTTCCCAGCCCCTCCCTCCCCAATCCCCTTCCCCTTCCTCTCCCTGGTGGCACCCCATCCCTGTAGTAACCTCTGAGCCCAGAAGCCCTCAATGTCCTTTGCCAGGAAGATCTGGTTTGGGGATAGGAAGCCAGCAAGTCTCCAGTTCTCTGATGCAAACACAATATAGCATTGATTGTAAAAGAAATTGCTGTGTGTTGTTCTCTTTGCTGTGAGTCATCCTCCCGGGCAGTCTCCGCTTGGTGCGGGGGAGGGGGGGAGTCAGAGCCCACGTAGTAGAGCCTAGGGCACATCCATTTCTCCCCTTGGGGAAGAAGGAGTTGGAGCAGCCCTCAGGGGCTTGTACGGTCCCGGTAATGAACCCGAAGATGGGGGGTCCATTTTGTTAGGGGATGGGTGGGGGCAGGGCCAGCAGCAGGTGCAATTCCTTTGGGATTTGTCACCTGTGTGCTTCTTCAACGTTGGGAGCTTAGGCCTGGGGCTTTGAAAGTTGGGTCAGGGAGATGGGGTGACCCTGGCTGGGTCTGCCTGAGTCACCTGCCAGTTGTATGGATGGGTGAAGCTGTCCTCCCCAAAGACCTTCAACCTCCCAAAGCTGGTCTCAAATACACACCCACACACGGACCTGCCTGTGCCTGGGGCTTGGGCCCTTTTGTTCCTGATCCTGTGGGAGGCCAGGCCTGACCAGGACAGAGGATAGTTGGAAATCATTTGACCCCTTGGCTGACAGAGTGAGGTTCTTTGAGTGAGGGTTTGGATGATGCTCCTGGGACCTTTGCACTGGGCAGGGGAGGTACTGGCAGTGGCCTTTCTTCCCGTAGAGACCAAGACCATAAAGCCTCAGGTGTGATGGGGGCCCCACCTAGCAGCAGGCCTGAGGGTTAGGGCCTTGGGGAGGGGACTGGCGATTAGGAAGTGTACCTGAGGTGGACAATGGGGAGATTGGCTGAAGAAAGAAGGGCCCCTGGGGGTGTGGCTGAAGGTACCACTTGAGGTCCTTAGCTCTGCCCGCTGCTGGCTGCCCCTGACAGGGTTCCCTCACCTCTTGCTCACAGTCTCCGTCTCCCTATCATATTGTGGCCCTGCCCTCTTGGCAATCTTCTGACTCCCACATTTGCAACCTCCTGTCCCTCCCTCTGAGACTGTCCCACCTGTGTGACTGTGCTTTGCTGGAAAGACCATGGCTCAGAATGCACAACTCTCTAGCAGTGAGAGGGGAGGAGCACAGACCAGCCGCCCTTTGGCCAACTCTCTTTGGTCACCTCCATGCCACCCAGTCATCCTCATCATCACCACACCCCCATCCTGGGCCAGGTGCTGTCTTCCCCCTTTTTAGAGCTGATTTCTTCCTGGGAGGCTCTTACTTCTTAGTCCCTTGTGATAAGTGACGATCCTGCTGTTAAGGCTCCGTCCCCGGGAGATGCCAGCCATGTGTGCCCTGCTGCTGGCTCTCCTGCTCTGGGCGCCCATCACTGCTGTGCAGGGTGAGTGATGCCCCACTGCCCGCCCACTCCCTGGCGGTCCCTGGCTGGGCAGCAGGTGGCTGGCCTGCCTTCTCCTGCCTTCCTCCCTCCTTTTCTGGGGGCAGGGGGCTGCCAAAAGGCTGGGACCCATGCATGACTTCACCCTGCCTTTGGGGCTGCTAACGGGGTCACCCTGAGGGCCTGCAGATGCAGAAGGGACACAACCTGTGGTTTTGTCATGGATGGCCTGCACGAAGGTGCCTCGCTGCCTGAGAGGCTGTGGGGGCTGAAATCCCACCCTTTCTGCCCTCCTGGCTTCCCTACAGGAAGAGGGACCTTTTCCTCACTTGAACAGCTGGTCTCTGTTGGGCTGCTGCATCTGCCCAGAGGGCAGTCTTTTCCACCTTTTGGAGGAAGGCGTTGCATAGGCTGCCAGCCCCCCCTCATCCCCTCCCAACCCTGCCGCGGAGAGGGGAGTCCATGGGGCTTCCACAGGCTTCCCCCCTTGACCTGGGGAGAGGTGCAGTCACCCTGGAAAAGTCCCCTAGTTATAAATAGGTGAAGGGCTGAGGGACAGACATAGGCCTTAGGGTTCTTATGGAGGCTTGTCATAGCCTTTTGTGTGGGAAGCCACTGTGGGCTCCCTGAGGCAGAACAGGCTTTCTGATTCCCCAGAGCAGGGAAGGGCCACAGGGAAGAAGTGGGCAGGTAGGTGGGTGCTGGGGTGAGGGGAGGTGGGATAGCTAGGTGAGGCTCCTGGAGGAAGAGTGAGACCTTGAGTTGAAGGACACAGGGGCTGGGCAGGGGAGGGGTGGCGAGTGGGCAGGGGGAGTGGGGCAGGACTCTGATAACCCACAGAGGCCCCACTTCTGCCTGCCACGCCCTGACAGACCTCCTCCCCATCCCTGACAAGTTGAGGGAGCGGTGCAAGCTGGCTGGGGTTGCCGGAGACTTGGGTAGATTTAGAGACATTGTGAAGGAGCCCCGGTGGCGTAATGGTTAAATGCTCAGCTGCTAACTGAAAGGTCTACAGTTTGAACTCACTAGCGGTTCCTTGTTCCTCGCTCCTGGGGAGAAAAGACCTGGGGATCTGCTCCCATAAAGATTACAGCCTAGGAAACCCTATGGGGCTGTCCTTTGGTTTGCTGTGAGTGGGAATGGAGCACACAACAACAGGATAAGTGAAGAGAGCAACCAGGAGGGTGGAGGCCAGGCAAGTTGGGCCATCAGGGAACAATGAAAGGTCTGAATATGCCCAGAGGGCACCACGCCCTGGCTCAGAGGTCTTGTTGTTTGTTTACAAAGCCATTTCACAGTGGGTGGCTCATTTGATTCTCAACGAAGGATTATATAAGAAGGTGGAGGCTTCAGGGAAATTGCGGCTCCTAGAGCACTCATCAGGGACCAGATGTCACCCGGTTGACACTGCGTTGTGGGGGGCTCGCCCCCAAATGGAGGACCTCAGCTCTCAGCCCTCTTAAACCTCCCACTCTCCATGTATCCTGGGTTCCCCAGGGAGAGTTCAGATGTCAGGTCAGAGACCTCAGTGGCTTCTGCAGATTTATTTCCTTTCTGATCTGGACCCTTCTCTGGGTACTCCAATTCACCGTGAGGTTTTGGACAAGCAAGCAGTAGGGAGAAGGTAGAAAAACGTGCACACAGATGTGCAGGGGAATGAGGGTATCCATCGATTTGCCAGGAAGGCGAGGAGGTGTGTGCCAGGTAGAGGGTAATATTCAGTGGAAAAGTGCATAGTGTGGGGGTGTCTGTGGTTGGCAGGAGCAGAGCCAAGTTCAGAGTCCCATGGAGGCAGCAAGCGCCTCCAATCCCCCAGAGGGGACAGCCAGGCCTGCAATGACCTCTTGTCCCAGCGCACTTACCTTCCTGCCACCAGAGGTGCTCCCCACACCCCTGCCCTTCCTAGATGCCCTGCCTGGGTCCTGCTCTAGGGTGGGGGGGCAGTCACTGAGGGCAGGAAACAGCCGGCGTCTCTGGAGGCAGACAGCCCAGACTGGGGCTGGGAATCCCCTCCTGCCTCCTGACCACCCTGCTCCAAACCCAGTCTCCCCTTTTCTTATTCAACATCTTCCTCCAGGTTGTCTATCCCTTCCCACCAGAGAAACGGCCCCCAGATTCTCTGTCCTCTAAAAGTTATGTCTTCTGTCCCCTCCCAGGCTCTGCCCTCAACCCCCTCAGGCCCTTGGTCTCTTGAACGTTTTCATTTGGTGGGGATGCAGTTCATCATGAGGTATGGGGGAGGCAGGGAGGTGAGAGACATGGCCTGAATGGTGGAGAGAGGGCGATCTCAGAGAAATGAGGCTGGTGGAGCAAGGGACTGGTGAGACAGGTGACAGAGGAGGTGTCGGCAGTTGGTGAGGGGCATAACAGTTCACCTATATATCTGACTCCTGGGGACTAGGTCCCCTCCCTAGGGGGAAGATAGGGCTCTAGGTTAGAAAACACCCAGTCTGTCCCGTACGGTGGGGGTCATCAGTCCCCACTCCTATTGTAGGGGAAAAAATCACAAAGTCTAGTAAAGCAAAAAGAAAGTTTTATTCAGCATATATTCAAAAGCGCAGAAGTAGGAAACAGACAAGCCTGCTGCCAGAGCTAGAATGTCTGCCCGAATCCAAGGAAATATCACAGAACAGACAAAAGTGGGAAAAAAGACAAGCATGCTGCCACAGCCATGGCTGCCCGAGTCCAAAGAACAGTTACAGAATAGGCAAGAACGGGAAAACAGATTTAAGCATGCTGCTACAGCCACGTCTGCCCAAAGTCCCGACACCATTACAGAGCCATCAGTATATATTAACATTACAAATGGGCAAAACCATTGAAAGCTTAGCCTTTTCAGCTTGGCTAGAAACTGTGATCCTACATTTTGGATTGTCTTCCTTAACAGTCATTGGTACAGGTTTCAGTAACGAGAGTCAGGAGGGTCTTCATTGGTCCAACAAATTTCTATTCATTAAATGTTAACAGAAGTTAAGAGTGGACCGTCTTTTGTGTTCTGTTTGATGGGCTTTATGTGAAAGTTTCCCTAAGAGATATTTTCCAAGATTATCGTAGCTATTGTCTTTATACCTCAGGGCCCAGTTGATGTGTCTTTGCGAGTCCTTGTGAGCCCAGCTCCAGCTGAGTCACATCCTGTATGCTCAAGGAGAGGGAATAATAACTCCAATATCATTTCCTAAATCACTCCCAGCATGTCATCCAGTTCCTAGTACCTACTGGCTACCAATAAAAGAATACAGAAACCTTTATTAAATATCTACTATGTGCCCGCTGATCACTCTGGCAGTTTTCAAGATTTGTAAAACATTTCTCGTGGCCTCAAAGATCTTATGTTGTTCTTAGCTGCCCTCAGGTGGGCCCCTGACTCAAGGCGACGCTGTAAACAACAGAACTAAACGCTGCATGGTCCTGCTCCATCCCCATGATTGGTTTTGGATCAGACTGTGTGATCCATAGGGTTTTTATCGGCTGACTTTCAGAAGTGAATCGCCAGGCCTTTCTTCCTAGTCCATCTTAGTCTGGAAGCTCGGCTGAAACCTGTTCAGTATCACAGCAACATGCAAGCCACCACTGAAAGACGGCATTGGTGGCTCAGGGGCAGAATTCTTGCCTTCTTCCATGCAAGAGACCTAGGTTTGATTCCCAGCCAATGCATCTCCTGTGCAGTCACCACCTGCCTGTCAGTGGAGGCTCGCATGTGGCTGTGATCACATCAGTCTGATCCTCAACTGATCATGGGGTTGGGGTCGGACTGGACAGCATTCCATTCTGCTGTGCATAGGGTCCCCATGAGTCATGGCAGACTCTATGGCCGCTAACAACTCCAAAAATGGAGTTTCTGGGTGGAGCTGTCCTGAGACCTGGGGCTCAGGTAGAGGGTAGGAATACAGGGACACAGTCAAGAATTCTATATTCTCCGTGTGCTGCAGGGGCGCAAACTCAAAACGCTGGGGGCATCAAAGTGAGGATTGGAGCCTGTGTCCTATTTTGAGTACATGAAGTTCCAAAGTGCCCACAGTAAGGTTGAGGCAGTGAGCAGAGCTCCTTGGAATGGCAGGAGCGGGGAAGTCTACACCAGAGGGGCTGGCAGGAGCCTGCCTCAGGAAGAAGGGATCAGAGCTCTTTAGGGTAGAAAAGTGAAGGCGGAAGGGGGAAATGCTCATCTATTAAATCACGAAGAGTGTCGTTGACGTGAGAACAGACGTGTCCACAATAGACAGGGGCAACCTTTGAAACTTTTGCGATGTATATTTAGAGCAATTAAAAGGAAGTGCTATTTTATACACAGAGTAATAAACTTACTCATTCAGCAAACACCCAACAGTTGACTCTGCTTGGACAGGTGCTGGGGTCTGATGAGGCAAGATGAATCAACCAGTTTACAGGGAAAAAAACCTGGTGCCCGAGCTATGAGAGGGACAAAGGGCTGGAGGAGGACAAAGGAGGCCTCAGAGGCTACTTCCTTCTGGGGGTAATTGGGGAGGATACAGGGAGAAGTGGCATTTGAGCTTGGGGAATGTTGCTGTCGAGTTGATTCTGACTCATAGCAACCCTACAGGGCAGAGTAGAGCTGGCTCACAGAGTTTCCAAGGCTGTAATCTTTACAGAGGCAGACGGCCACATTTTTCTCCCGCAGAGTGGCTGGTGTGTTCGAACCACTGACCTTTCAGTTAGCAGCCAAGCGCTTAACCACTGCTGACCTATTCCACCACGAGCAGAAATGTGTTTTGGAGGTGGTAGGAAGGGACGGCCTTGTAGCTCAGTGGCGGGCTTCAGGCTTCTTGTCAGAGGTGGCTTCTAGTTCTTTTCCCCAAGAATGCCACTGCCACCGTGGGAAATGTTTGCCTGGCAAGGGCTCCTTAGACATATCAAGAACTGACAAAGATATACATAGCCATAGAGAGAATTAGAATATTTATAAAAACAGTCCCTGGCGAACAGCAAAGTGGCGAAGCCATACTGACATTTTAATTAAAAATGCTAGTGTTTGAAGGTTTACTATA